ACCTCCGGGGTCCAATAAGTGCATTTGAAACCAGAATAGGCGAACGCCGGCAAACGACGCCCCATATACTCGCCCTATTCTTCGCGCCCCCTTGATCGAGCCAATCGAAATCGATCCGGTTCTCTTTACTACTCGCGAGCTGCATCGACTGTTATTATCTGCAGCAGTCCATCTGGACTCGGAGGCGGAGTCTGCCGAAGGGCTGGACTGAGGTTGAAAAAGGTCAACTTGCCTATCCTTCTTGGGAAAGCCACGAGTTGAGGAGTTATTGTTACAAGCGACCCATTTCCAGCCACGCTCAACCGTTGAACCTTTTATATATCATGGCCTGCAAAGTCAAGCCTTCCTCCTCGCCGGGGACCTGGATTCTGAAGCGGGCTACGGTTTCAAATCCGAGCCATGTGTACAGCTCGTACCCCATGGGGCTTGCCATAACCGACATGTCTTCAAGGTCCTCGCGGCGAACCAGTTCCATGGCCCATTCACAAAGCGAGGAGCCATGGCCACGGCGCTGAAAGGCAGGCAAAGTGGCGAGGATCTGTAGGTGAATTTGCTCGGGGCCGATAGGACTGAAATAAAGCTTGTAAGCTTGTATTTGGCCCTTCCAAAATGCGTTGAATCGCTCATGATTGGCATCTCTGCGCATGCTTCCGCCCCGATTCTCAACATCCGTCACAGCTGAGAGAACGTTAGCCAGAGCGCAGGGACATGCAGAACTGAGGACTTGCGGTCTTGAGGCTGGTAACTGGGGCCGTAAACTCGCTTGTTGAGGTACGACACATCCCAGACACCAAAGGCAACGATTGTGGCGTCCTCAGGGCTGTGAGGATCAAGGCTGTCTTCGACGACCATTACGAGCCAATCATCGTATGCAGGATCGAGAAAGTACTCGATCAACATGCGGGTATACTTGTAGTGGTCGTCGGGGAACTTGAGCCGTAGCGGAAAGCGATAATTCCATTGGGGGTCGAGGGGCATGGTCTCGATGATGACCTTGGTGACAGCCTCAGCGTCCGAGGGCAGGCCCAGCCGGGGCTTCATTGCATTAGGGCGGCAGAAAACAGAGCGTGCTAGTTGGTTCCAAATACCGGGAGGTCCAGTATCCGCAGAGTGAAGGCAGGGCGTCACCGAGAGCCAAGTTGAACATGGACAATGGGACGTGCCGCGCGGGAGAAGCACCTTATCACTGGAGGTTTTTATGAGGGGGTATGGGGTAGCCTTGCCGTCTCTTACGTGAACTCAGGCTGCAAAACTTACGCCCCAGACAAACAGCCATCGGCGTTAGCGGCCTACAATCCAGCATTCGGTCTGCAAGTCGAAGGGATGAAACGCGAGAGCAAAGGGCTCAGCCGGCGTCTGTCGACCCCAAGGGCTTAGCTCACGCGGCTCTGACTTTTTTGGCTCGACTTTGTATGACCTCGGATGACCTTATCGTCGGTGTAACTCGGCGAGCCTTGCTTATCGGGAGACGGGGGCTGACTGGTTGGGAGCAAACACGGTAGAGAGACGCGAGTGACATGCCAGGACGCGTGTGTGGAGGTGACATGGAATAGATGCGAATGCAACATCGGTGCATCGGTGCAACAGGCAGTCGCGGTTTGCTAGAAGGCAGCTCAGGCAGCCAAGTGCAAAGCGCCTGGCCGCTGGGCTGCAGCGCGCGCTATGCCAAAACAAGGAGTGCGGTGAGCAGGCTCGCAGGAAAGAGCAATGCGGTGTCGGGGGAGGTAAGGGGGATGGAGGGGCACAGCCGCCCCCTCAACTCGCCGGCGCACCGCTCGACGCTGCATTCGGGAAACGCGGTACATAATCTCGCAACACCAGTCCCGGAACTGTCTACGATTAGCGATTACTACACTCCCTGCCTTGCGATAGTATCTGTCGAGCACTTGTGGGGGACCTCTAATATGCTCCGACATGGAGCACCCCGGCCGGCCGAGCGACACGCCCTTTAGTTCTAACGGCTGCTGGCAGACCCCCGCCGTAGGCCACATCCTGGAAGCTCATGCTGCTCACGCGACACAGTTCCTCGCCTTCTTTAGCCCGGACTCCAACGGCTTCGGGAGCGGCACCATCGACCTCACCGCACCCCCCGAAACGGCCAGCGCAACCCCGGAACATGCAGACCCAGCAATATCGCCAATTGCGGAGAGCAGCATCCAGGCAGGTGACACAAGGGTCGTGAGCCTTGTGTGGCCTGCGCGACAGCCTAGCGGGTCGAGTGTCCCGTCCACGACATCGGCCACAGCACCTACCACGACAGGTCTCAGAAGAGCATCGCAAATGTCGAACCCGCCAAATGGGTCAAATGGGCCCTACCCCCCAGCCGTGTCACCCAGCCAGTGGATATCACCACCGCAGCAGCAGCAGCAGCAGCAGCAGCAGGACACCCATGGGTATCCCGCTACGCTCATCGACCCAATGGATTGGCCTCCGACTAACGTCCAGAGCTCCGATACGTCGCCATACAGTGCCGCGCATCCGCCTCCCGAGCAAGCCACAGCCCTGCTTGAACAGGTCCTGATCAGCTTTCCCATTCCTCATGACTTTGACTTCAACCTGCCCCAGCAGTCTGTTTCCACGCCCAGCTTCGATATTTGTGCCAGTGAATCCCCTCCTAGCGAGTCCCACTACCTGCCGTCCCCGACTCCTGTGTCCCACCATGGAAGCCGTGATTTCGTAGCATCCAACTCGGTCCTGCCTTTGGGGCCTCAACCAAATGCCCGGAAGAGAGAAAGGACTCCTAACGGCCGACCCAAGCTCGAGTTCGTCTCGTACAATCCCACCAGCGCCGGCGAGCTCACAAGGAAGAGGTCGGCCGAGGACGATGGCAGACAAGGCGCCGACCCTCTTCGGACAATCAAAAAGATCTCGCATAAGGGTGACGGCGGCGAGCTGCAGGGACTCACAATCACGTCTGGGAATCCCGTCAGTAAACGGTCTTCCTTCGCACCAGACAAGAGGGCCGAGACTGCAATCGCAAGGAAGGAGGGCGTGTGTTCCCGATGCAAGGATTCGAAGAGAAAGGTAGGTGGCTTGTGAAACCTTTGTGTTCGTACCCCCCAAGTACTACTATTCTCGGACTAATGTGTACTTTACAAAGTGCAATCTTGCGTTGCAGACCAACCCGTACAGGGGCTGTTCCCGGTGCGAAAACACCAAGACTTACAAAGGCCTGCCTCGGATGCCCTGCTTTCGGGAGACACTGAAGGACATACTCTTCTTCCGCGCAGGCCCGGCCGCGAACGAGCCACTGTTCAACCTCCGATTCTCCACCCTAGCAGAAACTGATATCTCCAAGCCCAACGTGGACGTGCAGAGCATACAGCTTACCCAGAAGATCGGCAACCACCGTCTTACCGTCTACGCCTCCGAGTTTACTCCATTGCCTCATGACAAGGTGTCTTATACTTGGATGGATAAAGAGGGAAACACAAATGAGCTGAAAATGCCGCCCTTCTGCCTTACCAACATGTTCAAGGTCAAGGCCCAAATACTGCAGTACATATATGAGGCAAAGCGGACGTACCTGAAAAGGTTGACAAAGGATGACCCCCTGGTTGACCCCCTGGTTAAGATCACAGTTGCTATGGCCTTGAATTATGAAAAGAAGAAGCAGGTACGTACTCCCTCGACGTCCACTCAAGGCTGCTGCATGCTGACCGAGGATGCAAGAAATCTCTTGTTGCGCTGGCGTTAGACCTTTGGGCCGTCTCTCGAATGATTGAAATACAATGGCAGATGTGCCCCGGGGATCCCAGCACGACCCTTGGTGTAACCCAAGTTACGGACAAGGCCAATCCCCGCTACGGCATGATCCCGATCCCGCCAATGATGGACACACAGCTCGACCAGATTATCATCAGCTATGTTCTAAACCCGCTCAAGAAAAAACTCATAGACAAGTTTGAGGAGATGATCTCACCGGCCAAGCCAGAGGATTGGTTTGACATCTATCTTACTTCTTTCATTCTCCTCAACCACATTGAGAAGCTGGCCGAGCATTCTGCCTTTCACGCCACACTGCATTCCATGCAGGTAGGTGTCTGATTTGTCAAGGACAAACTGTGCAGGGTTAACCTTTTCCCAGAGCCGATTCTCCAACACGGGATTTCTCGAGAGCGTCTTCCACTCCGCCAAGGCCATCCTCTCCCGCTTCCATTTTGCGTGCAACGGGTCCGCGCCGTTCCGTGCCGACTGGGAGTTGCCAACGACCGTAAACATGGCGCAGCTCGAGGCAAATGAGGTTGAGTTCATGAAGCAGTCGCAAGCATTGATAGTAGCGAGGAGTATGTCCTGCTTCCCGATGTTGAACGCCCAGCGCTAACTTATTTCATCAAGAGGGCGACTTTCTCACCTTACGGAAGAAGCATAGATACGAGGGCCCGCTGTACTGGTCTGGCCAGCTGCATACTGAGGATTGGGATGATACTCCGGCTCGGGTTGTGGAGTTGCCCTCATGTGAGGATTGATGTGTACCCAGGAATAAGGTTAATCATGTGTGATATATGGGACGATGTGAGCAAGCTGGAATGTATTGAGGGTTTTCATTTCCCATATCCGGTCAGCGAACCGTTTTCAAGGATACATACCGTCGAACGCCGTCTATAGTTTGAAACGCTACTTTGACCAAGAGCTTTCGGTTTGCAGCATGGTAGTTAATTGAAAACCAAGCACAAAGGCGCTTTGCTATCTCCTGCAAGGACTTGCTGAACCTTAGATAATGCCCGCGATGAGAATTCAGACAGCAAAAAGGATGCCACGTGTGAGGCTCGAACTCACGACCTTTGGATGTTCCTGAAGTTTAACCAGATCATATTATGAGACCAACGCTCTACCAACTGAGCCAACATGGCATTGAACTACTTGATGTTTTTGCAGAGTTGGGACATTGGGTTTTGGACAGAGGCCGCACTCCTCGTTGGGGAAAACGGGATCCCACCACCTCGGGGGGTGGTGGAGGCCAAAAGTTGAGTCAACGCATGGTGTTGATCAGGACAATATGGAGGAGCTAAGAATCGAACTCAGGACCTTTCGCAGTTGAGAAGCTGCTGCTAAGCGAACGCTCTACCAACTGAGCCACACCCCCTTGTTGTTTGCTGAGGGTAGGTTTCGGTATTCCCGCACCTGGAGAGGTGATGACTGAGTCTGAGGGGGGGAAAGTGTTTGCTTGCAAGGCATGCCGCTTGCAAAGGGCTGTGGTGGGAAAAGCCCGAGAAAAAGACAGCGTGTGGGGTGGTGCGTGTAGGATTGAAACGCCTAGTTTGGTTTTTTTGGGAATAAATATACCAAGGTTATGAATATTTGGTAGCTGTAGCTCACGCTATGGTAAGGAACCGGTATCTTTCACCTCACATTTGTTGAGGTCAGTGGTCTTTTGCACAGCCGACCCATAGCAACACAAATGAACGTCCTGCCCAGAAATAGGGACCAATCCACTCGGGAATAACAACAACGACAAGAAACCCAGTTCAAACATATCGAACAACACCGTGACCCGTCCCCGAAAACCTAGGCACAGCTCGCCCGGCGGTGCTTGACGCGCAGCTCGGGTGGCGAGCGCTCAATGTCCCAGATGGCGTTCTGGCGGTACGCATTGTCGCCGTAGCACTCCCAGCTGAGGCGCTCGAGCGGGCGCGGGGTGGGCCAGCGGAGGTCCTCGTTGCGCAGCCAGAGCCGCAGCATGTGGCGGCGGGCGGTCGCGTCGTCGGTGAAGCTGCTGCGCGCGTGCAGCATGGCGAAGTTGTTGAAGATCTGTATATCGCCCTTGCGCAGCGCGATCTCGACCGCGTGCTCCTTGGCCAGGAAGTAGACCATGTCGAGCGCCTCGGCCTGCGCCTCGGTCATGGCCGGCACGTCCGGGTGGTGCGGCGAGAAGTGCGCCCCCGTCAGCGGCCGCCGTGAGAACTGGAAGCCGGGCCCGTGTGGCCCAAAGAGGTGCATGATGGGCCGCGTGTGGTATTCGCCGTTCCAGAATCTGATATGGTTATTATTTTGGATGGGGAAGAAGAGAATGGCGGCGGGGATTGGCTCACTCATCGAAAGGCCAGTCGTCGCTGGCTAGGACGTGGAGAACGTCGGGCCGCGTCCTGGCAATCTCGTTGTAGATCTTGGCCGACGAGGCTAGGAAGGACTCGCCACCGTAGGCGGCAACGCCGAGGGCGTAGAGAGACAGGATGTCGCAGAGGTCGGTGTGGAAAGGCTGGAGACGGAATGGTTAGAAAGAAATGGACCTGGAAGGGGCAATCTGGGAAGAGACGACAAACCTGGGCGCGTGCAACATAGGGCGAGTTCGGCATGCTCCCGTGCTTCTTAACGTCGTCAACCACGGCCTGGATATGGACTAGCGTCATCCATGTTAGCAGGATGACGATTTGTTGGGTGCAGGAACAGTTGGACTAACGAATCATGCGGCCATCAAAGTCCTGCATGCCCCGGGTCTCGGCAATGTAGCTGGTGACTCCCAGGTAGACGAGGATGTTGTCAAAGTTGGAGTACTTGTCCGGCTGAAGGCCGCGCAAGACAGCGAAGCCCCTGCCGTTGTGGATGGTATTGGCGACATTGATGAGCCGGCTGCCCAGTGTCGGGAGGGGAAACGTGTTTTGGTCCACGTCGTCTGGACCGAGGTTGCCGGGTAGGTCTGCCAAGGAGCGCGTCAGCGAGCCTATCTAACGAGAATCAAAGACACTGGATACAAGAGACGAACCCTTGAAGTGAGCCAAGCCGGCGTCAATCTCAGCAATGTCCTCGGGGCTGAGCTGGACAACATAGTCGTTCTCCGACTTGAAGTCAGACCCAGACCAGGCCCGCTCCGCGTCGATATGGGTGGGCCATCCCTCTGGAACTGTGGTCGGACGGTTCGGGTTGAGGGCAGCGAGTCTGTCAACACGGTCCTTGTAGACCTTGTACGAAGGGAACCAGTCGATGTTGGGCCGGATGATGGGTTCTTGGGCTGTTTTGGCAACGGGGAGGGGGGACACGGAGCCAAGGGCAAGCGGACAAGCCATTGTTGCGCGTAGGGGTGAAGAGAGGGTCTGGTCTTGGGCAGGTTTTTTTGTCTTGTAATTGGTGTTTTGCCGAAACAAGGGCTGTGGTTGGTCCTGGAGGACGCTGAAAGAGTCAATTGATAACTGGAGGCTGGAACTCAACTCTGGCGAGATCTACAGAACACTCCTCCAACAGCACAGCCTTTGCCTCCCCTTCTTATACTGCTGCCAAACAGACCACCTAGAGCCACGACCACGACGCTCCCGATTCTCCCATGGTCCCATACTCTCCAACGTCCCCGTCCTCGACAGCCTGGCTCGTTCCGCACACTCAACCGGTTCCAACCCCCCTCCCGTCCAGCCCAGGCTCTCTCACTTCCTCGCAGCCTCTCTCCCCAAGGCCCGCGTCGGCACCGCATATCGCCGCAGAGCCTCAGGCAGGGGACCGGCCATCGGGGGAAGGGCTCGACGGCGCTGGGCTGAGCCGCATCCGATAAGGAGGCACTTCTTGATTGGGGAAGTGGGAATTGACGCTGCCTGCACAGCGGTCATCTGGGCGACTCTTGCATGCGGGCAGCCCCGCTACAGCACCAATGGCGCAAACTGCCGTCAGCACCCCATCCCTCCCTAACCTCCCCCCCCGGAACCCCCCCAGTCGCCCCCCTCCCAGGCCAACCCCCCCCCCCCCGGCCGGGTCCCCCTCTGCCCCCATCCCGACGCACAACTCTGCCCCGTAAAGTTGTAGCCAGTATCCAGTCCCTCATGCGGGCCGTGGACGCCAGCGCTGCGCGGCCGGCCATTGGAGATAATGCGAGAAGAGCTGCACGAGGCGCCGGCTTGGGCCGTGGGGAAGCGACGCAGAAGTCTAGAAGCTGGGCGGGCAGGCCCAATTGGCATCCGACGTGTTACCAAATCGGTGGGTAAGGTTCTCGTCGGTTTTCGTCGTCGGGTCGCACCAGCAATGCCGGCGCGGAGGACAGTGCAGGAGGGTGCAGGCGAATGCGCTGATGTAGGCGAGTACAGGGGAGCGGAGCGTGGCCGAGTGAGTGGCTGCTTGAGCCCTACTGGGCTGATGACATGATGTGATTGCATCTCGGCTCGACTTACATGCGGCTCTGCGAGGGGGATGGCCAAAACCCCCTCTCTTTGCGGCTCTGCCAGAGCGGGAGGGGGGCCAAATCTCCTCAATTCCCTCGTGGTGGGCAGTTCCCTCTCCTCGTGGTGGGCAGTTCCCTTTCCTCGTGGTGGGCATTTCCCTTCCCTCGTGGTGGGCAGTTCCCTTCCCTCGTGGTGGGCAGTTCCCTTCCCTCATGGTGGGCAGTTCCCCCCTCCCCTCCTCCCCTTCGTGTTTCCCCCTCCTTCAGTCCCTGTGCGGCTCAAGTCTGGGAAGAAGGGGAGGAGAGAAGCTGACGTGCAATCGGCACGGCATCCCTACCCGCACCTCAGCCCTGCCTGCCCTGCAAGTCCTTTTGTTAGCCTGCAACCCCAAAGGCAGCCAAAGGTACCAGACCTACCGCTATGTCACTACCACCCCTTGTATCTCGACCTGCAGCCCTGTTCTTGCCAAGTTAGCGTGCTAGCACCTAATCCCGCACAACCTACCCATGCTGGCAACCCCAGCAAGCCCATGCAATTCAAACCACCCAAGAACAAGACACGCTGTTTATGCACTACCGTTTAGCTCCAAGCCAATGCCTTTTTATTGTCACAGTACGCAAACACCCACCCGTTTATAACCAAATCGAAACCTGGCACGCCTGGAGAACCTTCCTGTTCCGGCCGATGCAAACATGCTCAAAGCAACCGATTCTCCCCATCCATCCTGCCTGCAGCCTCAGGCTGTTGTTGCCTGTCCCATCTATTCCTCGTCACCCTCGTGCTCCTCATCTTCCTCATCCTCTTCCTCCTCCTCGGCCTCCTCGGCCTCTTCTTCCGGCCCATTCGATTCATCCCCCTCTTCCTCGTCGATCGTGTCTTCAGCCGCATTCGTCTCGTCCCCCTCGTCCCCCTCTTCCGCTTCCTCTCCTTCGCCCTCCGTGACGCCCTCGGCCTCGTCTCCTTCCTCTTCCACTTCCGTAACTCCATCACCTTCTTCAGTATCTTCCCCACCCTCTTCCTCATCCTCACCCTCGTCCTCCTCACCATCCTCAACTTCCTCCTCGGCCTCGTCCTCGGTTTCTCCCGCGCTAGTCGTGCTCGCTGTGCTCTCCCGGCCTGCCGTCCCAGCATCCACGCTCCTCCTTAGATTCGGGAACAGCAGTGACGCTGGCACGTCGTCTTCGTAGTCGGCGGGGACATCGCTCAAGTCACTCTCGTCGTCGGCTGAATCATGCACGCTGCCGGGCGGGCTCGAGATGTCGCTGCCCTCCTCTACATGGTGATGCTCCACATTGGCGCTGCTGCCTCTCGCCCCGCCACTGCCGCCCTCCCCATTGGCCTGCTCCCCACCCTCCTCATCCGCATCCTTCATCTCCACATCGTCATCATCACCGTGGTGCGTGTCATCCTCGTCCCCGCCCTCATCACTCTCTCCGTCCTCACCCCGTGGTGTGGCATGTCCATTCTTGCCGCTCGACGTCGATCCCAAACGGGACTTGGTCCCGGTCCCGTTAGCACCAGCCGATTTCGGCGGCCCCTCGGCAGCCCTGAGGACGGCTTGCTCTGCCTTGCGGATGACATCCAGCCGCCTGACGCCAGGACGGCGGCCGCGCGGCGCGGGCTCTCCCGCCAGGGAGACCGGCTTATCAGGCTGTTCTGAGCCTGCGCGGAGGGAGCCGAGCGTGGTGAGCTCCTTATCGCGGCCGATGAGGAGGGAGAGTTTCTTTGTTGTGACGTCTGTTCCGTTTTCGGCCCGCGGGTCCTCGTCCCGCGGCCGGCTGTGTTCCTCTGTTGTGCGCACAGGCTCCGGTACCGCAAACTCGGCCTTGTGATCGAGGTAGATGGTCGAGTAGCAATCATTGATCAGATCGTCGATCGGACCGGCCTTCATCAGGTTGGCATTGAGCTTCTTCACCTCTACCGCCTCCTTCATGGCGTTCAGCGCATCGTTGTTCTCGGCCGATCCGGTTGCGGCCCACGCCGTAATGCGCTCAGACACAACCTC